AAACAATCTGCTTATTAAAGTTTCTGTGTTTCCAAAAACTGTGTGCTTGATCCAGCATGTTTAAATATTAAGTTGACCTTTGTATTAGGCTTTGCTATTCTTTGGTGAAACATTTAGGGAGAAATGGGGATTTATTCTGTTACTTTTTAGCCAGTGGTTGTTCAGAAAATTGTCCTATAGACAAACATTGTAACAGATATGTTGTCCTAACAGTAACCATTTGTTGTTATCTGAGACAGTAGCGTTTTTATTGTGTATGGTACTCAGCTGCACAGGGATAGATTTTTAATTGGCCTTTTGCGTAGTTAAAGGGACACTACAGGCACCCAGACCATTTCATCTCATTGATTCATCTCATTGCAATGGTCTGGGTGCACTGTGCCTGTCCACCTTAGATATTGCTGGGTTAAGACGGCGTCTACCAGACAACCACAAGAGGCACTTCCTGGAGTTTCAAAAGGGTTTGACGCCATGACTCCTTCCAGCATGAAGGAAAACCCCATAGGAAAACACTGAGGCAATGCTTTCCCTTGGGGAAGGCCTAACGCGCGTGTGACACTCACTGCAAATGCACATTAGGTCCCCCCGTTGGCTGACATCTGAGCAGGAGAAGTGCGACTCAGCACCCAGGGACTTTAGAGCTGGAATCTGGTCAATTATTAAAGGGTTCTTTAACCCTTTACATTGCAAGGAGTGTATCTCTGTATTCCTAACAGTAACGTGTTCCTTTAAGAATCATTGACATTCTTACTAGATTTACAAGCCAACTCAAGAGATGCAGCCATACAGAGGATACAGTGAGCTACGAAGTGTTTATTACAATGTGTTATTCAGCACACAGGTTTTAAATAAACTCAGGTGAAAATGATAAGCATGTTTCCTCCTAATTCACGCAGTTTTAATTCTGTTGACACAATTCAATGTCAGTCGTAACAAAGAAATTCAAACATTTTACATACATTTTAAATTCTGTTAAATCAAAATCATTATCTCACTGGAAAGTATGCACTATTTATTGGCTATTATCTACTTGCTTAATAAATTGCTGTGTCTCTTAGAGACATTGATAGGATTTATTTTATTTTGTCTAGTTTGATACAAGCCCCAATCTTCACACGTCTGTTGTGTTGTCTGATCATCTGTTTCTTGTTTACTCAGCCCATTCCCAGGACAACCAACCAAGTTTCTACTGCCCTTTCCATTTTATAATACTTAGCAAAATTTTATTTAGATGATCATGCTTCACAGTGTTGGTCAGGTCCACCAGAGTATCCAAGGTAGGTCCAAAAAGATATTAAGAAGATAAAAAATAGCAATATACAAAGGATTCCTAACTTTCTCAAGGTGGTGATGTCAGGGTTCAAGCTGATTATGTCAGGATCCATGTGATATCTAGATTATATGATGATGTCAAGGTTCATGTGATGATGTCACAGTTCATGTGATAATGTCAGGATTAACGTAATGATGTCCATGGGATAATGTCTGGGTTCATGTGATGATGTCACGGCCCATGTGCTGATATCACGGCCTATGTGATGATGTTCTGAGAATACCACTGATAAACTCTTATTAAAGGCATAGTATAGGGCAGGGGTAGGCAACCTATGGCACTAGTGCCATGCACGGCACTCAAGGTCTCTTTGCATGGCACTCAAGGCTGCTAGAGCCAAACAGGCTCTGGCCTATCAGGAGTCCCAGTGAAACTTCAGATATCTGCTAATACGAAAAGTTGGTAAAGGACAATCCTTAATTTATGCATTGCAGAACGTAGAGGAAGTGATCTCAGATCACTTCCTCCCAGCACTTGCGAATGGGAATCCACACTGTAGTAGAGCAGCCCACAGCGGATATTGCAGCTCCTGTCTTTGACCTGTACCTGGCCAGCCTGGTCCCCACTGGAACCCAGGGAAGCCCCCCACACTGCTAGATATACACAGAAATGCACAATAAGCCTCCCCTGATACAAATAATATGAACAGCCCCCACACACACACACAATCCGCAGAAACTTAACCTGCTAACAATCCACATACATGCACACAACACCACATACAGCCTCTCACATGCAATACCCCACACATACACACACTACCAAACACACAATGTGACATATCCATCCACACAAAATTCCACAAGCAGCCCTCATACACAGCCCACATTTATATGTATCATACACAATACCATAAACTACTAATGAACATATACAATATAATAGCTTATACACGCACAAATATTCAATGATACAAAGCAATTACAGTAAAAATAACACAAGCAGAATACGGCACGCTACTGGGCATCACAATCCTATATCGGCACAGTGCTGCTAAAAAGTTGCCTACCCCTGTTATAGGGAATGCAAATACAGCCTATCTCTTGTTTTCCATTGGAGTATGGTGGTATTATCGGTGCTGTACAGCAGGATAAGAACGGGTTTCTCATGGAGTGCAGTGAACAGTGGAGGAGACATGAATTAAAGTGCAATTCTCTGTACATCAGCATTTCTTCAGACATATTAATACTTTGCCATCTCACCTATTAATTGAGATATTAGCTACGAGAGGCTATAATAAGTCAGCCCACGAAGTCTGCATCTGTGGGGTAAAACCCAAATGACACTGATCTATGGTACTGACATTTCATTTATTTCAGCTACTAAATAAATCTAAATCCCCATTTCTTGTCCTGTTTAATAAGATTTGAATCCTTTTTTTCCAGATTGAGATATTTAACTCCTGTGAATTATTATTTTTGTACCTGCGTGTAGGCCAAAGTTCCCACAAATGCTTTATGTAGGGCGAGGGAGCCAGTAAGAGCATCACCCCTATCATTCAATGCTGCCGCAGATCATTAGCCCCCACATGCTGCCCTGTCTAATGGATCCATCAGGACGTCTTATAAAGAGGCTTGAAAACCAGACAGACTTTTCTTAAACTGTTTGGCGGAAGCTGCACAGATTGAGCGCAAGCTGCCCGTCCCCTAAAGGCTACTGATGCGTCCCCATCAGCCTGACTGTTAGCAGCCTCTACACCATTTCCCTGCTATGTTGCAGAATAGGTTTTCAATTTTTTTAATTACTCTGTCTCTCTCTGCTCCTCACTCTCAGTTTTTTCTTTTAATTAGGTTATAAAGCAATTAGTTAACACAGTGTCCTTTCAGAATTCGGCAGGGATCCCAGAGCTGAGTCTTCTCCTTGCGTTGGATGATGGGCTCAGCATCTCTCCATGACACTTGCTCACAGCCGGGTGAAGGTCAAAACCGAACAGCTTTTCTTTCAATCTTCTTGTTCCTCATTGTAACCTCCCTGGCATTGTTTGACTCTCTCCCTCCTCCCCCACTCTTTGAAGCACCCGCACACCAGGTGTTCATGTCCTAAATTACACATGAAAGAGCCTCTTCCCTAGACTAATTAACTAGTGAAACTCACCCACCTCCCCTCCACGGTTCATGCTGTTCTGAGATAGCAAAGCCTGCGCCACTTCTATGGCTACTACTGATGGCATCTAAACATCGCCTGCCAATCATCCCATAACCGGGAGAGCAGTCTCGTTATCATGATTGTAACAATGTATCTCATCAACGAGTGCGATCAGAGACCCAGCAACTTCTCTTCCAAGTCACCTTAAAAACTGACCTATAACTCGAAAGCTGTCACACTGCACAAGAAGTTGCATGAAATGTTTTTTAATCATAAAAAAGTGGGAGTATATTTACTAAACAATAATTTGTGATAAATAGTTTATTTAGTTCATCCAGACTTGCTTTACCAGGAGTATCCGGCTGAGATTTGTCTCATTTTCTGTAAAACCAGGAAATTCCAAACAGACCTTAAAGCTGCACTGTCACAGTCTGGGGACTTTACAGAATTTGCGAAGACCCCCGCAAGGTGACATCGACACTGTCTGTCAGGTCCCAAAGGTGGCAGGGAAAGATGGCTTCTACTATGACTTCTTCCTGAACCAGTCCCTTGCTCGTGCCACCACCGTCTTCCCGTGGGTCCACTTCAGCTCCTGGGACTTCAGCGTCAGGAGCCGACGTTACAGCTGTACTGCCATCTCCGTCTCGCGGGATCCTCCGTAGGTAAAGCCAATTCCCTGGAAGCGTCACTGGCGGGATTAAATCTTCTAGATGGCAGTAGCTCCTCCCAGTGTCTAGAAGTGTCATGCGGGGGAATTATTCAGAAAAAATATGTACAAAAACCAGATAAAACATCTATTTAATAATAAAATGATTTACCCGGAAGCATACACTGATATTTCTCTTGTTTTTACAGCTTTGGTTTAAATGAAGATACAGAGAGTGGGTTCACAGCAGTCCAGGGAAAATTTGGTGATTTCTGGAGTTTATATTTAGGGCAGATTGATGGTATAACAGAACACAATATCGCAGATTTTTAAAAATCTATTTAGGATTATTCTCTAAAAGGCACATTGTAGATAATTGAAACACAAAATGCAAAATCCGCTAAAAGCTCGTAATGGCTGGATTATCTCAATTTGGCTGAATGTGATTATCTGCTCGCTACAATTTGTTGTTTAGTGAATAAGCCCTTATTGAATGTTTTGCACTGTATATATGATTGTATTCATTTTAATAACAATGTACTTTAAGAGCTGAACATTGTGTGAGGTTACAAATGACTTGTTTAGGAATCTTAAACTTAAAGTACCACTCTAGGCACCCAGACCACTTCAGCTTAATGAAGTGGTCTGGGTGCCAGGTCCAGCTAGGTCCTGCTATGTTTATTAATGGGTTAAGCCTTCCCCCTAATCCTCTAGTGGCTGTCTCATTGACAGCCACTAGAGGCACTTGCGTGCTTCTCACTGTGATTTTCACAGTGAGAGCACGCAAGCGTCCATAGGAAAGCATTGATAATGCTGTATCTTTTGGTCCCCTTGCTGTCCCCATGCTGCACCTTATGGTCCCATTGCCATCTCCATGCTATACCTTATGGTCCCCTTGCTGTCATCATGCTGTGCCTTGTGGTTCCCTTCCTTTCCTCATGATGTGCCTTGTGCTTCCCTTGCTGTCCCCATGCTGTGCCTTGTGGTCCCCTTGCTGTCCCCATGCTGTACCTTGTGGTCCCCTTGCTGTCCCCATGCTGTACCTTGTGCTCCCCTTGCTGTCCCCAAGCTGTACCTTGTGGTCCCCTTGCTGTTCCCAAGCTGTACCTTGTGCTCCCCTTGCTGTCCCCATGCTGTGCCTTGTGGTCCCCTTGCTGTCCCCAAGCTGTACCTTGTGGTCCCCTTGCTGTCCCCATGCTGTACCTTGTGCTCCCCTTGCTGTCCCCATGCTGTACCTTGTGGTCCCCTTGCTGTCCCCAAGCTGTACCTTGTGCTCCCCTTGCTGTCCCCATGCTGTGCCTTGTGGTCCCCTTGCTGTCCCCAAGCTGTACCTTGTGGTCCCCTTGCTGTCCCCATGCTGTGCCTTGTGCTCCCCTTGCTGTCCCCAAGCTGTACCTTGTGCTCCCCTTGCTGTCCCCATGCTGTGCCTTGTAGTCCCCTTGCTGTCCCCATGCTGTGCCTTGTGCTCCCCTTGCTGTCCCCAAGCTGTACCTTGTGCTCCCCTTGCTGTCCCCATGCTGTGCCTTGTGGTCCCCTTGCTGTCCCCATGCTGTGCCTTGTGGTCCCCTTGCTGCCTCTTTGATGTTTTGCAGCCACTTTGCTATCTCTGACACTAACCCTCGTCCACCCTGAATCTAGTCCTGATCCCATAATAAAAAATGTAACATAGAATTTAACTTGTGAAAAAATTTAAAATAATTTTGTCCCTCCAAAAAATTTGTCCGATAGTCGTCCACAAAATATGGCGTCTTTTTGTGCCATTTGGTTCACAAATAAAGTGAGAAAAATAACCTGTGAGGGAAACCGGAGGATAAATAAAATGCTCTGTTTATATATTGTGTATTTATTTATTATATGAAGAATATATAAGTACAGATTCTTGTACTGCTCCCCCTTTCTTTCCCTTTATTGATCGCTTCTCAATGAGAAAGAATAAATTAAGAATTAAATTAGCAGATAGTGACTATTCCCTAACTACCATTAAACTTTTCGTTTTTTTCCACCATTGATTTGCTATTGAACTCTGAATCACGAATCAAAAAGCAAGCGTGCTCGTCCATTGCGCAAGTTGTTTGTTTAGTTTTATGTCTGTATGGTGCTTGGAATGCAGACAGCCCACCAAGCGCCTAAATTCGGACGGATTACAAAACTCTATAGAAGACACACAGCGATGAAACGAGTATCGGGGAAGATAATGCTGTCTCAGCGTTTTGGAGACTCAACTTTTTAGGATATCTCCAAATCCATCCATGGAGTTATTTTCTTACAATTAATGTTTTTATGTACCACACCTCCCTCGCTCTCTGTATACATATATATCTTTTATTGTAGCATTCTCATTACAGAAAATGTCAGTTGAGATCAGGGAACATGGTGCAACATGTGAATGAAAAGCACTTGTTCATGTGTATTTGTGTTCTGTTTGTTTTAGATACAGATACGAGGTAATGTGGTGGCATGACGTGTACGTTCTATAATAGTAAATAGAATAGAATAATGGAATAGTTCTGATAACAGAAGATATGTGCTGTGGATACACTATAGCATTCAGCACAATTCCTTTGCCTTTGTTTGATCGTCAGAGAATATTGTGTATTGTTTGAATTTTCACCGACACAGCCTTGTATTTATCATAACACACTCTGCCCTTCCAATTACCATACGGAGGGAGCAGTGTTGACAAAACAGACAACACCCTGCTTCACCTGAGACAATACCAAGTCAAAACTTACCCTTGTGTTTCCAAATAACCACAAATTATTGTGACCCTTTCATCAGCCTTCAAACAAAAATCGATTAAAAGTTTTTATTTAACGTGTTTCGTATGTGGATTATTTGTGTGAATTTTATTGAACTGGCTATATGTTGTACCTCTGTACATACAATACGACATTGTGCGCGCACACACACACACACGACCGATCATACTTAATTGAAATATTTCAGTTTGTCAATAACTTGCCATAATGAATCCTCTAACTGATCACAACCTGCAGAAGGTTTTTAAACTTGAAGAAACTAAATATAAAACAAATATAACATGTTTCGTTTAAGTTAAGAGTCCATCAATTAAACCACGAATTATGATTTACAGCTCACCTGTAAAGTGATCAAATAAACTTATGGCAAATCAATGTTTAGTGAAAAGACAGCAAAAACAATGTGCAACCCTTCATCCTTTTTTAGCACTTGTGTTGTGTGTATTACAAAAAAAATGACTTTGAGCATCCATTTTGCAAAGTCTAATTATTACTTATTTTTTCTAATTAATAATATTTTCAGTACTCAACAATAACAGTCAATCTACCTTATTTGTTATCGCTATAAAAAGGGTTTTATTCACTAAACTCTATATCGTAGCAATCTGAAATCTATGTAAAAAGAATTTGGCAAAACTAACTGATCTCAAAGAATTCTCCAACATCAGACCTTGATTTAGTATTGGCCTCCATTTAGTATTGGCCTTGATTTAATAGTGGCCTTCATTTAGTATTGGCCTCGATTTAGTATTGGCCTCAATTTAATATTGGTCTCCATTTAATATTGGCCTTGATTTAATATTGGCCTCCATTTAGTATTGACCTCGATTTAGTATTGGCCTCCATTTAGTATTGACCTCCATTTAGTATTGGCCTACATTTAGTATTGGCCTCCATTTAGTATTGACCTCCATTTAGTATTGGCCTCCATTTAGTATTGACCTCAATTTAGTATTGGCCTCCATTTAGTATTGGCTTTGATTTAATATTGGCCTCGATTTAGCATTGGCCTCCATTTAATATTGGCCTTGATTTAGTATTGGCCTCAATTTAGTATTGGCCTCCATTTAGTATTGACCTCAATTTAGTACTGACCTCCATTTAGTATTGACCTCCATTTAGTATTGGCCTTGATTTAGTATTGGCTTTGATTTAATATTGGCCTCCATTTAATATTGGCCTCCATTTAATATTGGCCTCAATTTAGTATTGGCCTTGATTTAATATTGGCCTCAACTTAGTATTGGCTTCGATTTAATATTGGCCTCGATTTAGCATTGGCCTCCATTTAATATTGGCCTTGATTTAGTATTGGCCTCAATTTAGTATTGGCCTCCATTTAGTAGTGGCCTCGATTTAATATTGGTCTCCATTTAATATTGGCCTCAATTTAGTATTGGCCTTGATTTAATATTGGCCTCAACTTAGTATTGGCTTCGATTTAATATTGGCCTCGATTTAGCATTGGCCTCCATTTAATATTGGCCTTGATTTAGTATTGGCCTCAATTTAGTATTGGCCTCCATTTAGTAGTGGCCTCGATTTAATATTGGTCTCCATTTAATATTGGCCTCAATTTAGTATTGGCCTTGATTTAATATTGGCCTCAACTTAGTATTGGCTTCGATTTAATATTGGCCTCGATTTAGCATTGGCCTCCATTTAATATTGGCCTCAATTCAGTATTGGCCTCCATTTAGTAGTGGCCTCAGTTTAATATTGGTCTCCATTTAATATTGGCCTCGATTTAATATTGGCCTCCATTTAGTATTGACTCTCGATTTAGTATTGGCCTCCATTTAGTATTGACCTCCATTTAGTATTGGCCTCCATTTAGTATTGGCCTTGATTTAATATTGGCCTCAATTTAGTATTGGCTTTGATTTAATATTGGCCTCGATTTAGCATTGGCCTCCATTTAATATTGGCCTTGATTTAGTATTGGCCTCAATTTAGTATTGACCTCAATTTAGTATTGGCCTCCATTTAGTATTGACCTCCATTTAGTATTGGCCTCCATTTAGTATTGGCCTCGATTTAATATTGCTGGATAAACTTTTCAAATGATTTAATATTTTTGGATAAACTTTTGAAATTCTTTTTTTAAAATACTAAAATATCAAAAAAAATCTCATATATAGAACATATATAAAAAATTACAACAAAATAAAAAAAAAAAATATTGCAAAGTTAAAACTTTTTTTTATAATATTAAATGATTTTAAAACCTTATCCAAAAATATGATGATCATTTGAAAAGCTCACCCAACAATATTCATCCAGGGCCTCCGGTATAGTAAAAGTTTAGCTGCTTAGGCTGAATTTCCCCGTTTGAATCTTAATTCGATCTAATTTGACGTTTAGTGAAAAAAATCCTTTTCATCAGAATATTGGATGTGTAAATGTGATTTGATTATATTTCTCTTGAAATGGACAGTTTAGGAATCTGTACCATTTTTATGTTAAAACCCCATCCGTCAGGAAAGTCAATTCATGGAGATAAATGGTGGAGAATTTCCCCAAATTATATATAATATATTAAATATATTTTTCTTTGAACTCACCGGCCGGAAGCTGCTGTCATTGGTCTGGATTTCCGGGAGCCTCACACAATTGGTGATGCATATTACCAGTGAAGTACATTCACAGTTCTCCCACAAGACATCACATTTGTCCATGAAGCAGTTGTAATTTTACTTTGTATGAAATGAGTCATTTGGTCCCTTACTTTACTGTAAATGAATCAATAATATGAAGCAGTGTAGAGCTGAACCAACGAATAGAACTTTGGATAATCAAACAGGAGATTTCAAACTCCACGCTAAAATCGCTAATCTGAAAACAAAGTTGAAATAAAATGTGTTCGACCTAAATGTTTCACTACTCTAAGTTTGCCGTGTAAATTCTCCAATCCCTGTATATTATGGCTGGTTAGGGCAGTGGTAATGTAGTTCAAATCCCAGACCACCCCACCAGTAAGTACCCCAGGACATGACACCTAACAATATATATTCACCTACCTCAAATCCTCGTAGATTGTAAGCTGGTATGAGCATTCTATGAATGTAAAGCACTGGGGAATATGTAGACATTATATAAATCTAATAATAATAAACCCTAGTGTGACACGGCCCTATTTAAGCAATTTGTTGACATTTCGCACCAGTGGTTATAGGACATATTATGGACCACAAGTGATTGACGAATTGTACTTTTGGTGTAAGTTTATGTCGACCATTTATATGCCAACAGAGCAGAATTTGTTACCAGGTCACCATTAGTCATTTCTCCTTGTATTAATAAAGTGTGGACATTTTATAGGTGATATTTATCTCCTAGATTGCTGTAGGAGAGTGTTTTATGTCTGCCCCACTGCAGATTTAAGAAACTTAATGGGGCCTTCATAAATCAACCATTTTTAGGAGGATCCGATTTCTGTGCCATCCTTAAAGAAATAAAATACATTTCATGTTATTTGCATTTCGGTTGATTTTTGTGTAAATAATTAATTCCTGCCCCCAAAATCTAATTTAATCCCAAAGCATTATATAGGCATCACTCCTACATCTCAATCTTTTTTCCAATCGAAGGATGAGAACATGAAACATTTTTAGCTTGTGTTGAATCAATGTGTCACCGTTTATTACACTTGTCAAGTATCTTAATATGTTGCATTGTATCATAAAGAAGGCTTCATGCAACTATGTCTAACCGACCAGACACTGGAAGATGTGACAATAAGCACCATGAGATCAAGTGCAGCAATCCTGTATCACTGTGGTCCAAGTC